TGAAGATATTGAACAGTGCAGGCCCAAGGACCGAGCCCTGTGGGACCCCACTTCCCACGTCCTTCCAGGTCGAGAAGGACCCATCCACTACCACCCTCTGGGTGCGACTCTCTAACCAGTTGGCGACCCATTGGACTGTATGGGTGTCTACGCCACAGTCCCCCAGCTTCCTAATGAGAATGGGATGAGAGACAGTATCAAAAGCCTTCCTGAAGTCTAGGAAAAGTATATCCACTGCCACCCCTGCATCCAATGATTTAGTGACCTGGTCGTAAGAGGCCACCAGGTTGGTCTGACAGGACCTGCCGCTGATGAACCCGTGCTGGTTGCCCCTGAGCATGCAGTTCCCTGCTGCCCCTCCTGGATGTGTGCCAGAATAATTTTCTCAAACAGCTTGCCCAGGATCGAGGTAAGGCTGACTGGCCTGTAGATTAGTTTCTTACCTTGAATAAGCACTGCTCTGGCTGTTGTGAACTATTTCTACACAAACACAGTTTGCAGCTGCCATTTTGCCTGCTTAAACTAGCAAGTGGTTAGCTTCCTTACTAGATGCTTTCCCCATTTTAGAAAAAGGAAGTGCATTTCTGCCACAACCCTGCAGAGGCACTTGAAATGGTAACCATGAGGCAGGAAATAGGTCAGGTCCTGTTTTCTTAGTTCTGCAGACATGCATGCTGCCAGGGTGTCAGCACCCAAAGGCAAAGGTACTCTAGAATGACACTAGTTTTGACAGCTTGATATGCAGGGCTACTTTGCTGTGTATGAAGGGGGCTTCCTCCACATTGAGCTGGACGATAGCTGTATTTAGTGGTTTAAGGTAACCAAGTCTAATACCCCAGAAAAAGCAGAGGAAGCGGCAAGAGGATGGGGAAATTATACTTAACAAAAATAGCCAATTTCCCTAGCTCATTGCTGCTGGTTTGCAGATAGGGACATGGCACTTTCTGCCTTACACATTTAATTTCACCTGTCTTGCTAAAGTAGCAGAAGGTGGTGGCAGATGGGTGCATGTAGGAGTGGCCTTTTATAATTCCCTGAAACATCTGAGTCTCAGCCTTGATCTTTTAGGAAGCAACCTGTGCAAAAAAGAAAAGAAAGTTGGAGAGAGAAAGTTAAAAGTATAATGGTATTTCTTTAGCAAGACACCTTTCACAATCCACATAAGGGCCATATAATTTTCCTTGTTGCACATCACTTCATAAATATGCATGTGGCTTAGTTATTTTCATGGCCAGTTTGTTATTTTCCCCCTTGTTGTCCAGCTGCCATTTGTAGGAGCTCCACAAGAAGGAAACTGTTCTATAAGCAGCCAGGTTAGGGGCAGCTCTCCTATTGGGATCCTCCCCATCAGAATGGATCTGGGTGTCTGTTAAGTGAACCTGTCTGTACTCAGAGGACAGTATCTGCAGTAGCACCCTGAACATTTCCAGAGAGACATGCCTCTGCATGTGCTTACACTTGCACTTTCTAAGAAAAGCACATGCTTGGAAGAGATCCTCAGCCATCTAGGGTAGGACATGCAGTAAATTCTAAAGGCACAGCCATGAAGCAGCAGCAGCGTGCCTTTTCTTACTGTTTCAGTAGTCTGAGTTGTAGGCTGCTAGATGGCACCGCTTGTCACATGTTCTTAGACAGTTTATGAAATCAGACTGTCTAACTAGAATCAGTAGTTAGAGTAGGGGAATTTATTAAACAATGGAAAAGTCTATGTTTTAGTAATGCCAGAAGTCTATCCTTCTGTGGCTGCAAAGCAGAAGGAGCGGAAGGTTGGGAAGATGGGCAAGCATTCTACCCCTGTGCCAAGGGCCTCTGTTATTCCTTTCTCTCTTTGCTTTCAGGAGTTGCATGCTCACTTGTATAAATGATGTTGGGCATTAAACAAAACAAATGTACATTTTTTAAAACTTTTTTTTTTAAATAACTAGTTTTCCTGCCATTTGTGAGAGATTAGCATTGTGGTGAGGCTCAGGCCAGCTAAGGTAGAGGCATTGTTGGTAAAATGGAAGCAGCAGCAAGGAAGCACAGCAGCACATCCAGCTGTTAATCTCTCTACTCCCAAGTTGCTCTTCAAACCTTAATACATGGACTGGGAAATACTGGTATGTATCCCACTAGAAGCTGGAAAAAGGTTTCTGGACAGAGTTGGCTGCTACCCCCAATCATGAAGCTTAAGTTAATTAAATGATTATTTATATTCCTTTTGCTGCTCAAGATAGTCTTTAAAAGGCAAAATTTAAAAATAATACTTACTGAAGCTTGATTGGCCAAGACAATGAATACAAAGTTTTATCTGGTAAGAAAGCCTTAACTTTTACTCGTGGTAAAGTTGGAAACAACTTGTAAGCTATGTGGAAGGCATGATGTGTTTGATATCATCTTTAAATTCGGCAGCACACTTTTGTTGGTTGAATGTGTGCCTCCAGAGACCTGTCCAGGAACATTATATTCTCCCAGGTATTCAGAAGCCAGGAATTTGCAAACCTGTTGTTTAGAAGGAAGACTCCTAGGCCTTACTGGCACTGCCACATGCATTGCAATGTATCATGCTGCTGTCTAGTACACAACAGAACACACTGGCATTTTTATTACCCCCTAAAAGGGAAAGGGGCCTGCCTTCCCACCTTCAGAGTTCAGGCAAGCTCAGATACCTTCTTCCCCACAATGAGCTCTCTCGCATTTTTATTATAGTACTTGCAATTCCAAATGCCTTAACTCTCTCACTACATTGTGCAAGTTCACGCTGGGGCTACAGTACACCTTCCAGTAAAAACACACAGTCCCAGACAAATGGAGGAATAATGTACCACAACATGGCACCAGCAAGTCCCTGTATGGACACATGCCAGAAATGCTGCCACATTCTCCATGGAATTGTCTTCAGTTCTTTCCTTAACCAGAGACTCCAGACGAACAGTAATTCCAAACACGAGAGTAACATGGCATTAATAATAATAAACCATGATGTCCAGTAGTGAATCCCTAACCAACTCCATGCAAACTCAGCAACTAATTGATAGGCTAGTATGAGCTTGAAAAGAAGCTCTCTCTGTTGTCACCAAGTAGGAGGTTTAAGGTGTGAAAGTTTCTTGCCTGTTCCCATTCTGTGTCTCTGTTGTACAGGGCACACTGTGTGAATGAAAGGCAGAAAGCTTTCTATGTAATCAAAGTAGTAGATATACAGTACTCCCAGCCTTGGAGAGGTATTCAGTGCATGCAGTAGAAATAGCATTGGCTTAGGTTTTGCAGCTTTGAATTCCCAGAGGTCTTTTGGCAGCTTTTGCTTTGGCTTCAGTCATTCAAGATTCTCCAGCTGTAACAGAAAAGTTTCTTTGTGGCTACTGTTTTCTGGACTGTAGTTCCTGCTCCCTAGACTACAAGGAGCCTTCAGATGAGCAAGAGGATCCAGTTCAGGTTGTTTATTGCTGATCCAGAGATAAACATGCAAAGTGAATGTCACAGTAGCTAAGCATGCCAAAAACCCAAAGGGAAGTGCCCAGCCTCGTTGCCAGCTGACTCTCTGATCCTTTCCCTGTTTGTGAAAGTCTTTGAGACCATGGCCTGTATCGCTGATTTGCGGAATCGAGCCTCTTTTTACAACAGTCTTGGGAAATAGCATTGCAGTCACTTGCTTGGGTGGAACACTGGCTGCTGGAGGCTCTTCCCGTTTCTTTCTGCGTTGCGGACAACAGCTTGCATTGGAATTCACCCACAATGCAGCCAGGTATTGCTGGCTGATGCTGTGTCCACAGTTCAGCTTGGTGGGATTGACCTGTCTTGCACAACACCCGGGGCAACCACCAGCAGAAATCTGGAGGTTGGTTGTGGAAGCAGAGTCTCCTTTGGCTGACTTCTTGGTTTCATTTTGTACGTTTCCATTGGCCTCTGTCTCTTTGCTGTGTATCTTGACATCTCTTTCCATTAGCTCGGGTCACCCAACTTCCCTTTTAAAGCCCATCAAATTTAACTAATTCAATTTAAAGTATCCAGGGTTATTCCTTTATGCTAATTTCTAGCTTCATGGTATTCAAGATAATGGATCGGAGAGGGAGAGGTTATTTGTCTTGCTTGTAGAAGGGATCTCCTCACAGCCTTGGCATGTTGCTGTTTTCCTGGTGGTCAGTAGCATCTCCTCCTCCAACCAGTCATCAAGAACAAATGAGTTGCATCATAAGCAACCACTGAATCTCACAGTATAGTCTAGAAACTCCCTAGCTACAGCCATTCAGTGGGCTGTAATACCCTGCATCTACCGACAGCTCCCCTTAAGCCAGGAATTTACTTAATCTCTACATGAGTAGACTTCAACCTCCAGGTAGCAAAAGCAGTGACACAGTCTGTGTTCTGCTGGGTCATAAAAAGATAGCTAATAATGGGTGTGCAGGTGCCCAAGTTGGGTAGTTCAGTGTCCAAGCTACAGTTTGAGATTCAGAAAGGTTGTTTCCAAATCAAGGGCTACGTTTGCAGAAGTTTTCCCGGATACCAGGTACCCAGAATGAAGTCATGGGTGCTGAGCACCCGCTTCTCCCACGGACGCTCTTTGGAACACAGGATTGGAATGGGCCTCTTGGGCCATGGAGTCCAGCCACTTGCTTACATGCAGCCATTTACCTAAAGACCCGTAAAGAATTGCCCACTCCAGACCTCTCACGAAGCTTTAAGGTACAGATCAGAGACAACCTATGACACACTACAGATACAAACAGGGATGATACAGGCACTGCCCATACCCAGCCACTGCAACAACAGAAAAACCCTTACTTAGTTTATACATGTTCAGAGGATCCTAGCAAGGCAGTTTCTGCCAGCCTAACCTGGGGGAGCCAAAAGCTTTTAGCTGCTTTAGGCCCCAAATTTCAGTCCAGCAGCTGAAGCCTTGGCAACTAATGGATGCTCTGCAAACCTATTTAAATTTCTCCCTAAATATAGTATTGCTGAGAACTAGGAGGCCCAGTCCAGCTAGTGAACTGTGGTGAATTATGATGGTACACACTGCAGACTGTATTAACCCAAAAGTCTGATGTTTATTGAGTTTTGTCCACTAATGACTATATTCTGCTTTACTGTAGGTACGTATTGCAGCAAAATTTATCACACATGCACCCCCAGGAGAATTTAATGAAGTGTTTAATGGTGAGTAAATAGGAACAACTCAATGACTCATGGGTTTTCCATGTTTAAGTTGTTACCAAAAAAAACCCCCAAGATATTGAAGGTGCCTCACAAAGCATAGGTGCAAGACTACTGCATTCTTTTTAAAGCCAACATAATCAAAGTTAGTGATTTTGGGGTATGGACATGAAGTGCCTTAAAGAGGCCCAGTTTCCAGAGACTGGGTATTCTGCACTTCCTGAAAAGTAGCCCCTTTACAAGCCTCTCAGCCTAACCAAAAAAAATCAGTCTCTTAGATACTGGGTTTCACTCTTTTTTTTTTTTTCTTTTTTTATCTTCAATGGGTTTTTATGCACCTCATTGGCTTTATTACAGTTTATTTTGTTAATAATTTTCAAGCTTAATCAAAATACTAAGGTAAAAATCTTACATGCAGTTGATGAATGCAAAATTCTATAGCTGGGTGCTGTTCAGCTGCACTTCTATGCTGCAACCTTGTTTGGAACTATTGTGGCAAACATTAAAATGTTCTAAGCTTTTGCCAGAAGACTCTAAAGCGTAATTATATTCTAGAGTTTATATTACGAAAGCATGACACCTGGCTTTCTGTTTAAGCCGTTCATTTTGGACCCCATTCCAACACGTTTTTACTTCAGCGCTAATCAAAGAACTTTATTAGAGGTGGAATACTTGTCACTTTACTTTTGCTCTCCCGTTATTAAGAAGTGAATGAAGGAATAATTTTTTTTATCTTAAATACCCATTGGTCAGAGGCCAAGCAAAGAATACTATACCTCCCAGAAGTGAATATTTCAGAAAGCTGTGAACATGCAAGTATGAAGTACACAGTGCAAAACCAGTGTAATCGTAGTCATTGCTGTTTGTATGACTCCCAAAACCATCCCCTCTGTTTAGCATGGTTACAGTGTTAAGTGAGTTTAATGAAAGTCACCACCCAGACAGCAAGGAGAGTTTAATGCCACTATGCAACCACATCCTGTGCTAGCAGAATACTTCTGACACTCAAGTGTCTGCCTTTGCACTATTAAACAAGTGAGATAGAAGCAGAGACTCAAATATTTGATAATCTATGCACTTTCATCTCTCTAGATGTGCGGTTACTGCTTAACAATGACAATCTTCTCAGGGAAGGGGCAGCACAGTAAGTATTGTTTGACAGCCACTTCACAATTCAGCACTAACAAAGTGTACCCTTCTGTACATCAAGTCTAATGAGGAAACAGGACAAGTGATCACAGCTGCCTTTGTCATACTGTAATTCCCCCTTTCCAAAAACAATGCAGCATCTAGAGGTTCCTTCTCAAAAGGCCTAGGCAGAATGACCTTTCACAGAGAAGAACCTAAGTACATGTGGATATCCAGCATCTGCAGAATGTAACTTTTCAGAGGCCAGATAAACAGTTAATGCTTGTAAACCATTCTAGAACTGGTACCACTGTCTAGTTCCAATTGTGAAAATTTAACCTGAGGAGGCTTGCAGCTTATGGTGACTCTTAGCCAAAGTTTGGTAAATGACCATCCTCAACTAATTGCTGTCAGAGTATCTTGTTTGATTGTTCAGTAACTTCAAAAGCAGTCTTGTGGTACACGTGGAAGGCAAGACGGCAGGATTTGTGTTTGAACTACACAAAGCCTCCATCAGCAAGTTTTTCTAAAACAGATCTCTTGGAAACATTAAACTCAAATTATATCGTGCTTCACCAAAGCTGGCCATGTTAATTCCAGCTGTTACCTGTCTGAACTGCCTTGACCTGTTCATCTTCCTCCAGGCAATAGCTCTGCTACTAAACTTCCTGCTTCCCCAGTCATCGCTAACTAAACCTGGCAAGAGAACTTGGCTTTTATAGTTACCTTAGAAAGCAGGTGCAGGGCCGGCCTGCTTTTGGTGCCAGCCTGGCATAAAAGCAGCACAGAAAGCCTTTCCTAGAGCATGTTTATGAGGTATCTATGGTTGATATTTTCATGGGGAGTGAGCAAGCAGGCTCTGTCAGGAAGAAGGGATTTATACTTGACAGTGTCAGAAAAAATACGAATAGCAATATCACTATTAAAGCTTATCCTCCTTCTGTTGTTAACAGTGCATTTGCCCAGTACAACATGGATCAGTTCACTCCAGTGAAGATAGAGGGGTATGATGATCAGGTAAGAAAACACATTTGCTTTGTGCTTTTGTATGCAGCAAATTTGAAAGCCGCATGAAAGGGTTAAGTATGTGAGTAAGTGCCTTGCTTTCTTTTTATTTTCAGGTTTTGATTACAGAACACGGTGATCTGGGCAACGGTAGATTTTTAGACCCGAGGAACAAGCTTTCCTTTAAGTTTGATCATTTAAGAAAGGAAGCTAGTGATCCCATGCCTGAGGACACAGAAGCAGCTTTAAAGTCTTGGAGAGATGCCTGTGACAACGCACTGAGAGCATACGTGAAAGACCATTACCCCAATGGCTTTTGTACTGTTAAGTATCCATCTTTTTTCACTGGCGACTCTTTGCCCCATGTCTGTTAGCACCAGGCAGTGCTACTGAGCAGTGATATTTCAGCTCTGTAGTCTTCATGCGTGTCTGGTCTTTGCTGTGAAGCAAAGGGTATAGGTAGTCTGTCCAAAAGGGTACAAGTAGTCTGTTCATGCATTTGGGCAGGATGTAACCAGCAGCAAAACATTTCCCAATAAGCCAAAGTTACTGTGTGCAGCAGCCCTGGCTAGCGCTAAGTTGACTGGAAAAGCAGGCACCATGTGTGTATATATAAAGGGGGTAACTAACCGTATGCACATGCTTTCTGGTTTGTGGGGTAGCAGAATCCTGAATTTCTACTAGCATTACTGAAAAAAAAAAGCTCAAAGCTGTTAGAGTTCTAGCCCTGTGCATTCTAGCACTTAACTTTAACTCTCTTTATGAATACAGGTTTATGGCAAAACTATAGATGGGCAGCAGACGGTTATTGCCTGTATTGAAAGCCACCAGTTTCAGCCCAAAAACTTTTGGTAAGATAATTGAAAAGATGTTTTCTTCTTGGACTCCCACTTCTCCCAGCCCTTTGAACCCAATCTCTGTCTCCATGCTTGCATCAAAGCAGTATGCTAGGAATCAGATGACCACTTTTGGATCAGACTCAGTTCTGCCCTCAACTTGCTAATGGCTTACCTCCCCATCAGGCCTGATAAAAGGCCTCAGGACAAGGCCCCCCTGTGTTGCTTTCAATCATTCATGTAAATAATACTGTGAACCAGGTGGCAGTAGCTCTCTTGGTCCCAGAGCGTACATGCATCATATTTCTGCATGCTGAAGCTTCCATCCTTGAACCACACTACTTTAGTGGCACAAGATACCCAGCAAGGTATTTCAGTGCAGGCCACAAAGCACTAGGTACTCAGCAGACTGAGAACTATTCCTGGTCTGGCTCTTCCATTAGTGGATGAAGCTGAGTACAAACAAACAGCTTCCCTGTGTGGTTTTCTGCAGGAATGGTCGTTGGAGGTCCGAATGGAAGTTTACCATCACTCCACCCACAGCTCAGGTTGCTGCAGTGCTGAAGATTCAGGTAAGTGCATTGCCAAACAGTAAATCACACCAAATCCAGAGTTGTTTCGAATTTTCCCAGGGATTTGTCTCCCAAATGAAAACTTAGGTGTATGCAAATACAGCACTTTCAAATTCAAAAACTGCAGCGACAGCTGAATCGTTTAATAGTCCGAAGCATAGTCTTGAGAATGGTTCCTTTAAGAATTAAACACTCAGTCTGGCCTGATGGCACAGTTCTGTATCATCAGATGATACATTAAGCTGTGTTTCACTCCTGACCCTTGCTAATAAGGGGTAGGCTCGTAAACAGTCTGTGAACACAGGGATTGCGTGCTCTCATTCCAGCTCTACCAAGGGCTTCCTGTATTTGCATGGTCTTGACTAAGAAGGAAGGCAGCCTTTAGTAGCCTCCACATGAAGCTGTGGCAGCTCTCTCAGCATTACAGTTGAGTTTTCTCCTGTTCTTTGGATCTGTGTGTAGCTTGCTTAACACAGTAAAGCTCTGGTTTTGGATGGGGATCACAGTATTAGTCATACCTTCCACATCTCTCTGTTTGTGCAGGTTCACTACTACGAAGATGGCAATGTGCAGCTGGTTAGTCATAAAGACATCCAGGACTCGGTACCGATTTTGGTGAGCATTCAGAGCTGGTAACGTGCCAGTCACCCTTTTGTCTTGTCAGAGTAAAGCTGTGCTTAATCAAACGTGGCTCCACTCTTGGGCCTCTTACTTTACACACACAGACTGTGAGATCAGACTTCAGGCTGACCTGCCAGCGTGCACAGCATTACATGGGATATCCAGCTTTGCTGTTGCTTATGGAGAAGTACTGTGCCAAGAAGCACATCACAGAGACTAGAAAGGACTCTGGGCTATTTGTCTTGTGCTCTTCCCCATGGGAGCAGAATGGTGTCTGCTGGGTGCCTTCTGGGTAAAGGAAATTTGGACTAAAAATACAATGGTTACATTGATGAAAGGTCTAGCATTGCAGCACTAAGGCCAAACAATCATAGTAGCTACAGAGGCTGTAGACTCCTAAAAGATGTACTGAAGGGAAGATGACTAGCTTGGACCTTAAATAAGTGGGAGCCAGTGAAGTAGCATCCCCATCATCTGTTGGGGAGTGACCATCTGATTTTGCTCGCTAGAGGGCAGTCCTCCCTTTCCTTTGGAGCTGACAACATGCCTCC